TAACCCCAATTAGGGTCCCTTTTTGGGTACTTATAAGTCTACTTACTACCTACTTACTAAGTCCCCCGACCCTCCAAGTGCTCTTTGTTGGCGGAGGGTGGGGTGATTGTAGTAATATAGGAGCCTTAATGATTAGAACAGCGTATGAGGGTATATTGTACTATAATGATAATAAGGAACCCCCAAAACCTTGTTCTAATTATTAAGGTTATTAAGGCCCGTACAGTAGAAGGCTTTTCTGTGGCCCCAGATCAGGCTGGAGGGGTTTGAATATCCTGCAATTTGCATCAGCCCGAACCCATTGGACCCTTCGAAACCCCCTTCAAATCCCTGCAAAAGATCCCTTATGGAACCCTAGCCACCAGCCCTAGTTATTAGGTCCTTTGGACCCCTAAGCCCTTTTGCACCTAGGCTATGCGTATGCCACGAACCGAGGCACCGGGCCCTTAGGCCCTAAACCCTATGCTCGTTTGAACCCCAAACCCTATATCCTAAACCCCAAACTCCAAACCCGAAACCCAAAAACCCAAACTCCAAACCCTAAACCCCAAACTCTAAACCCTAAAAATGAAACTCCAAACCCTAAACCCTAAACCCCAAAAATCAAATTCCAAACCCTGAACCCCAAACTCCAAACCCTAAACCCCAAACTCCAAAGCCTAAACCCTAAACCCCAAACTCCAAAGCCTGAATCCTAATCCCTAATCCCTAAACCCTATGCACCCTTACGGATAGGTTCGGCTCTTTAGGGGGTCTAGGGTTTTAGGGCCTTGGGTTTTCGGATGTCGGGTTCTTAGCTTTTTCCGGCTTCTGCTTCGGGATCTGGCGCTTTCGAGTTCAGGGTCAGAGACAAGGCACAGGTCAGTCAGATTCCAAGGGAACGGGGATGTGGGTTCGGGGTTTAGGGCTTGCTTAGTATTAGGGTTTAGGGCTTAGCGCTTAGATAGGGAATGTTTCTGGACGTGTTCTTGTGGAATCTAACCAGTACTATACTAATATGTTCGCGGTTAAACTCGTGCTATTATGACGACCTGCTATTGCTGGGTATGACCACTGTCATCACTATCTACTACAGTATCCCTAGGGCTGTTCCTACTCTTAAGAACAACTATAACCAAACTTGAAACTATTCCTACTGCAACCCTAAACCCTAAACCTAAACCCGAAACCTCAAACCCTAAACCTTAAACCCTAAACCCTAAACCCTAAACCTCAAACCCCAAACCCTAAACCCCAAACCCTAAACCCTAAACCCACAGTTACGGCGATGATTTCTACGCACCTCGGACAGGGGCCCCGGCAGTTCGGTACCGCCCGAGCCCGGCCGCGGGCGCCCAGCATGGTGGCCGTGATCCGGTTTAGACTGGGGCCTGGGTTTAGGGTTTAGGGTTTAGGGTTTAGGGTGAAGGAGTGACAACGGTAGGCTTGGGGTTTAGTTGCTTTTCTTTTAGTTTTGAGGGTTTAGGGTTGAGTTGTTTTTTAGTTTTTAGGGTTTAGGGCTTAGGGTTTTAGGGTTTAGTTGTTTTTTTAGTTTTTAAGGTTTAGGGCTTAGGGTTTTAGGGTTTTGGGTTTAGGTACTCACTTGCAGTTTTAGGGTTTGGAAGGCAAGTCCTCATCATGGAGTTCGGGTTTGCAGGTCCTTGTATTGGCTTAGGGCCTCTAGGGCTTCAGGGCGCGAGAGAGAAAGGGGTGAAACGGGTAGGTCCTTATACTGGTATAGGGTTTTGGAGTGTGCGGTGAAAAAGGCAATTCCATGTAACTTTAGGGTCTAAGGTATAGGTGAAAAGTCGGCCCTGTGTTGGTTTAAGGTCTAGGGCAACAGTAGGTCTTTATCATGAGGGGCCTCTTAGATGTGGTCTATGTTGAGGTTTCATCTCGTGCCTCACAACTGAGAAAGACTTCGGGTTTAGCACTCCGTGGCTTGAGGATAAAGGGGTTCAGGATTACGGGCTCAGAAACCCAGCGACCCGACTTTGGATGTAATATACTGGCCTTAAGAATTACCTATACTGTTTTCGGGGCTCCTTATTAGAATTTTAGTATAATATACCCCACAACCCTGTTATAATCATTAAGGCCCCTATATTCCACAAGCCTGCCATGGGTGCTTCAGGGCCTGAGGTTGCAAGCCTCTCACACGATCCAAACGCAGCTACTCAAGGGTTTAGGGTTTAGGGTTTAGGGTGTAGGGTGTAGGGTTTAGGGTGTTGTTTTGCAACGCAGGCCTGGAATGTAAGCCCGACCGAACACCGTTGCAGGAATGGTCCTGGAGTGGACAAATCAACAAAAAGCAGGGCCATGATCTAAGGTATGCATCCTCAAACCTTTATGAAGCCTACGAATTAAGCATTCAAACCCCTGGCCCCAAATTAATTAATCCCAAACTGGACCTTGAAACCCAAACCCCAAAACCCACAATCTCAAACCCTACACCCCCCGGCCACCCCTACGCCAAGGGAACGGCGGGACGGGCACCTTTGGGTATGCTAGCTCCCGTGCAGGTTTGCCTTGCGCCAGGTAGCAGCTCGAAGCTAGGAGCGTCGAGGCTTTAGGGCTTTAGGCCAGGAGTTACAAGGGGGTTTAAGGCTTTTGGGGCTCGAGAGCTTTAGGGTTCTAGGGTTTCGGGCCTTGCAGCGGTGCACAACCTTCCGCGCTAAACCCAAAGCCCCAGCGCCTTCAACTTTGACGGAACATACCTCCCCTCGACTCCACTATCGAAGCCCGAATAACTAGACCTTTACAGCAAGCATATGCTACAGAACCCTGTCGAGTGACACTGTTAACTAGTCAAGTCCTTTCATAGGTCCTGAATTCTACGACCCTTGTACGACCCTATAACACCTTTTAATTACGGTGTTGGATCATCCTGACAGCCTCTGTTATACGCCCTCGACTTTGGCCCTAAACCCTTCCGATTAGCGTCCTGGGCCTCTTGGTTTGCGGCTGCGGCTTCGCAACTTTTCTTGCGAGACAGAGAGTTCAGACACCTTCACGTCCAGCGGCGCAATAAAGAGACACCGGCTGGCCGGGGCTGCCTTAAAGCCGAGGCCATACTGACAAATACCGGGAAGCAGTCTGGCCTGGTAAGGAAAGCGCGTTTGCAGGATCGTGCTGTTCCTGAACAAGTTGCGGCTTTTAGATTTCGAGTTGGCGTATTTGAGGTTTGAGGATTTGCAAAGATTTTTTGGCCAGCCTGCTATCGAAACTGGTCTGCAAACCACCTTGGTGCTGTTCCAAGTCGCGGCTCCATATATATACAGTTCCTGTAAATGCTGGCAGACGCTACCACGGTACTAAGCCAGAAAAGCCTTAAGCCCTTGTTGGAAGATCAAGAGGCCATGAACCCTAAACCCTTTAAACCTAATTAAGGCCCTTTTGCAGCCGGCTTTTCTCGCCCGGAACAACCGTCGCCATGAAGCAGTGCCAAACCCCCTTGAACCCGAAACCCCAGCAACCAGGCTAAAGAACAACCCGTCTTTTTTTGCGTCCAGAAACCCTCTAACTCCACAACAAGACTCTAGTAGAATTCGACGGCACCCCACAATGCCCCCAGCACCCTAAACCCTAAACCCAGCACCAAAGCATGAACAATGGAAATCTCCCTAAACCCTAAACCCTAAATCCTAGAACCTTAAATCCTAAAACCTTAAATCCTAAACCCTCAACCCTAAGCCCTAAACCCTAAATCCTAAAACCCAAATAGTATATACTTTATGGCCCCAAAGTACCTATATAGGGACTACGTACTTTGAAGCCAAAGTACATAGCTATTTTTGTACATGGACGCTTTGGGACAGAAACCATAAACTCGAAACACGTAGCCCTCATCTAGGTGTGGGCTAGGCACTCTGGTGTGGCAGTGAGTGCTCCTCTGGGGATATCAAGGCAACCCTATAACCGATGGCGGAAAGGACTCTATGGTTGACCTTCTACTTCGTGTCGCCTCCCTGCAAACAACTCATGCCCTAAACCCTAAACCCTGAACCCTAAACCTAAAGAAGAGCACGCTGGTCTGCAACAGCCCAAGACCGCAAAGGCCACGACTTGAATCATGCCTGCGGCGTGGTCTTCCTGAACATTCGACCTATCAGCTCCTGTCAAACAGTCTCAGCCGTCCTTTGGTGGGTTCAGGTCTTCTAGTCTTCATCTTTTGGGCTTTGGGTTGCGAAGGTTGACTTGGGTTATTTTTTGCCGGGTCTGGTGTATCAGCTTTCATTTCAGGACTCCAGCACTCCTATGGTCCTATATCCCTATACCCGAAACAATGTCATATAAGAGCCGCTAGCATAATGTGTTGTGGGACTTTCCAGATGCAGGTCCAAAGACGCTGTGAAGGTATTTAGATCCTATGGGGTCTCCTGAACCCTCGACATTTGCAACCTACACATGCAATCATTGCCAAGAATGCAAGCAGTGCCGACAGTAATGCGCCCTCTGTCCCTCTCTGCCCCCTCACTCTCTCGCTGGAGCGGGCGGCTGGGCCGGTGGGTTCCAAACTTGACCGCAAAATAATTCAGCTCGCAGCTCTATGGGTTAGACGGTTTAGGGTTTAGGGTTTAGGGTTTAGGTAGAGATCCCGAAAGATCAGTCCTTCAAGAGCGTAAGCCCCAGCAGACTTGTGTTTAATAGCAGATCCAAGCGAATGGAGTAAGTACTATGGTCTCCTCCAAGCCGCGAATCAATGCTATGACGCATAAACACGGTCACGTGAACGCTTGTTGGTGCAGGTGTGGATGGGTGCGGATGGGCGCGTAGCTCTTGGTGATGGTGTGCACGGGGTTAATCAAGCAGCTAAGCATCCATGAAATTGGGGACACTGCGATAAGACTGAGCCAGAACCTGGAATCAACCGGCCCTTCGTGCACTTCGCGCAGCCAGCAACAGATGTAGATAAGGTCAACACCATTTGGCGTTTGAATGCTGGACAACATTTGTAGACGACATGAGCCATTCAACAAACCCCAGGAGAGAAACAGACTAATATAGAATGCTTGAGATCCTTCAGAACCCTTCAGAATTTCGATTTCCCTAGAACCCTAAACCCTCAGGAGTTCTCAGAAAAAATGGTTCGCACGTCGTCAGGCAGCCTAACAAAACTGGCCAAGTCAACGCAACTTTCTGAAAGATGGCAGTGACTCGGTGAAAGCACTCAGAGAAGCAGAGGGTTCCCCGCAGTTTAGGGTTTAGGGTTTACCTGGACCCCAAAAAACCTTCCTCTTTAGGGCTCCTTAATAGGATATCCGTATATAAGTCCTTAGAAAGGTAGGTCATCTGGGGTTAAGGTAGGGTTTAGGTCACAAAGCTTCAAGCGAATATCATCATACACCAACCCCAACACCCCAAACCGTACACTCGGAGGATTTGTCACGACTGTTTCGATCAAGGCTGCGAGGGCTGGTGGTATCATGGGATCTCTGTGTCGAGTTTAGGTTTAAGGCTAATCTATTTGGCTTTAGGGTTTAACCCTAAACCCTAAACCCTGAGCTCAAGGTAGGTTAGGGCTCAGGGTGTGGGGATGCCAAGAGCTGAGGGTGGGGGCTTAAGTACGGCCTGCAGCTGTAAAGGCTAAGCACGGCTTAGGATTGACTGCGGCGTAGGCTTTAGTTTAGGGGTACGATGTAAGCCAAGCACTTCGGGACTAGACGGGAAGAGTATTGAAAATTTCTTCATCTCCCCTTAACCTTAAACCCTGTGGAAAAATCCTGAGGCTTGCATTAAAGACCCTAAGACCTTGAACCTTAAACCCCTAAACCTTTTTTTTGAACCCAGACTCTGCCAATCAGCTGGGAAGCAGCACTTCCAAATTATTGCATCTGGGAAGAAGCGTTGCCAAACTCGAACCTAAATCCCTGAACACGAGAGTCCTGCAAAGTCTATCGCACCCCTAAACCCTAAACGCAACCTTCCTATTCACTGACGGTGGATCCTTCTGCTTCGGAGGCTCTTCGATCTCCCCAGGACAAGACGAATCTAGAGGCCAAGAATACATACGGTAAGGTTTAGGGTTTAGGGTTTAGGGTTTAGGGGTTTAGGGTTTAGGGTTTAGGGTTTTTGGGGGAGTCCTTATCAGGGACTAATGTAGAATATATCCTAAAAACCCTGTTCTAATTGTCATGGCCCCT